ATAATCGAGGCCAATAATTTCGTCACAACTGGCGTTAGGCTAATACCCCTGTGGTTATAACAGTCTGTGCGACTGCTCTTCTTGTATATTGCCGCTATAATCGATTCGCTCCAATTAGCCGGGACGCTCTTCCTTCCAGATACATTCGGATAAGGAGGTCACTGCTTTGCAGAGGACCTCGCCTCCATCCTTAAATAGTGCAGGTGGGAAGGAATCCGGGCCAGCGGCACGAAAACGATTGAGGGCTGTGCTCGCGTTTCGGACCTCCGCCTCCGACAGAAGCTCTAAACTAACCGTCCATGTCTCGTCCTGCATCACCTGAGTAGGAAGAGGTCCGGGAGCAAGGAGCCAACTGAACTGATCTTGAAAGTGTTCCACCCAACGAGTCATACGGCGCTCTTTATTGTGTATCAGCGCACCCGCGCTGTCTCTGTTTGTGTCACTGACGCCTGGTTTTCTGGGACCAGTGGTGCGGATTGGCTGGAGGAGCTTGCAGTACTTGCCTACTGCTCCTGCCTCCTCCATTTCTTGAGCCCGACTGGTTCACCAGGCTTCCTTGTCAGCACGTAGGCTCTGCTTTAGTTCGTGCCTAATATCCCGTCTGGTCACATTGTGTTCAGAGCCAGCCGGGAGATGTCTTCTAGATTCCAACAGGTTCACCGACCTCTCGGATATCCAGTGACTGATGCGGTGACGATGGATAGTGCCACAAGCAGATGCTCCTGCGTCGTGCATGGCGGCCGAGATCCTCTTCCACTGAAGTTCAGTGTCATTAGAACAAGACAGCGGAAGTTCGGTACGCAGTGCTTCTTGATAGGCTTGCCTGACCGAGGGCTGAGACAATTTCTCCGTTGCCAATCGTAGGGGACGCTTGGTGCGCCTCCTGGTAAAGTTCATGGAGAAACGACAGCGTACCAAGGCATGATCAGAGTCGACACATGTACTCCAGTATGAGCGGCAATCTAGGATGTAACCACACCACCTGTAACTTATGGCAATGTGGTCAATTTGGGTCCAACGCTGGCCAGCTACAGGAGGACGCCAAGTGGCACTTCGGCGCCCACTGTGTCTAAAAGCAGTGCTAGTAAGAAACAACTGGTGCTCCGCACACAGTTGCAGCAGACGCTCACCGTTGTCAGTCCGTTCGGAGTTAAGCCTACAATTACCACCCAGCTGAGCTTCTGAAGAGCTCAGACGCCCTACTTGTGCGTTCATATCCCCTGCAAGTAATATAATATCTGAACTAGTAGCACTGCGTAGTAGCGCTTTCAGTTCGTGATAGAATGTGTCCTTGACAGTATTAGAACTGCAGCCGGTGGGAGCATAAGCGAAAATCACGAGCACACAGCGTTTTTTACTACTTCATGAATCAACCTTAGCTGATGTCGTCAAACGGGCTGTACATAAACGGCTGTTCACCGGAATCCAATCAACCAACGACAACTCAGCCTTGGAGCTTAGAATGATACCTACACCAGCTTGAACCGTGAGTGCTGCATCGGCGTCTTTGGGTGCGTGCAACCAATAACGAGAGGATAAGCCGGGTGCAGTTAATTCGTTGGGGTCATTGATCCTAGTTTCGGACACACAACACACATCAATACCCAGTGTGTCCAAAGTGCGTGCGAGTGCAGCCTGTTAACCTGTTTGTCTTAGAGTACGAACGTTGAATGTCGCCATGGAAGCGGATAGAGGGGCTTTATAAGGGTATTTTGCCGATAGGTGCGGTGGGATATTGACTGCAGATGGTTCTACTCCAGTGGCACTTCGGTTGCTGTCAATTAAGCTGGGAATTATAGAAGGAAGGTTAGTAATGGGGGTCGGGATGGGAGTAAGAGAAAAAGGTGGAAAAGGAAGAAGGGAGGCGCCAGCAGTAGCATGTTTTCGCTTATCCGCCCTGCTGTATGCAGCAGATAAGGCGACACTTGATAATCTGCGCGACGGCCGATGCAGGATGAAGTTTATGTTTGAAGAAAATGTCATGGTTGTATGTGGGCTGAGATACTGCCAGGGCGCCAAGACCTAGACAGGAGAACGATTAGGGTCCTCATCCAAAGCCTTTGGCTCAAAAGCCTGTCCGCAAGGCAGCGGGGTGGCAGTGATTTAGTTTTACAGAAATGGACGCCATCCCATTTCAAACCCCCAACCTGGAGGACCAGGTGACTGAGTTTGTCTGATCTCTCACCATTGACCAACCTGGTAGGATTAGCTCTCAAGGTGCCCGGAGGCATCACTCAGCATAGCTCAATGGGTCATTGAGGTACTCAAACCATCGCACCACGTTAAGGTCCAGTCTCGCTGCGACGGACAAAGACGATGAACACGTTTGGCTGGATACCCTTGTTGACATGTTAAGGAGCCGACCACAATGGCGTTTGTATTGTGACTTTCTTTGTCCCATCCCCTCCCGCTTAGCCTCCATCTCCAACCATGATCTCAATTACTAGGCATAATGTAACATTTTTTGCGACACAATAGCCGGCTGCCGGCTCTCTGGAACGATGACCATCCGTTACTGATAGCTCATCCTGCATGCCTCTGTTTCCTTTTTTCCCTGCACCTGTTGCATTTTATTCCCTTTTTTCTTTTAGGTGTTGCGACACAATGGCTTAGGTATTTCCCACTTCTAGCTAGCATGTATAATATTGATGATGATGATGCGCCCTTTGTTCCTCCACATTTTTGACCATCTTCCCCGTTCCCTTACTTCGCCATTATTTCCTTGTTTTTACGGTGAACTCTGCGAAATCATCAGTCGATTCTATGTGGGTTACCAATTTGCTTCTGTCGGCTCAGTATTGTACATGTCCAGTTACTCATAAGGACCGGTCGTAGACATGTTATAGGTAACACTATTTTCCTCCTCACAGAATCCTGGTCTTCTATGGACTCACATGACACCTTCACATGACACTTATCCAGAGACTTCGGCCAGTAGCCTGGAGATAACGAGTTTGTCTCGTAATCTTGCTACGCGTGTTCGCATCCGCGTAAGGGTGGGTGTCCTCGCGGTATACTCAGCCCGCGTGCGACTGGTGGTGATCGCGCGGCAGCGAAGCGCCGTTACGGCGTACAGCTTACACATTTATCCAGAGATTTGACTCCAGATTCCACTAGCAGTTTGCGGTGCAGTGGTTTAATATTGTTTGCAAACATGGGCGTGAGCAACGTCACTCGATTTGATGCTATTCAGCAGCGGACTGTACACGTTTCGAATAGAATGCTCAATGAGACCTTCCAGCCACTGCGCCAGCCTCCTCTGCTCCCTCATTTTAAGCGCACATACCTCCCAGCTACAACAGCCCTGTCGATTTGCCAACTTTTTGTATACAGCCACCTCACGTACCTTCGGGTGCTTACTGACATCATGTTGGTCAGGTGATTACAGTTGGTGAGCTTTTGTTCGGTTGTTAACGCGGCTGTATTGCTTACAGGGAAGACATCGAAGGACACCGTCTACAGCGTTGCTACAATCACGAACTACTTAACTTAGAACCTCTTGGCTCCAGTGCTCTGTACAGCAACGTCCATCGACTGGTCAGTCACCATTGGTGATGCTTCCCAAGTGCCTGCAAATCAGTCGGAAGTACGAGATAGTGCATTGTGTGATCGTTTTGCGTTCTACTGACACATTACCTTTTATTTTTCTTCCTCTAACCGTGTGCTTATGATTTCTCACCTGTCTTTAGTACTACAAGTGCTTCGGAAAAGATCTGTTCGATGTTTTCGAATCTACGTCGGCGCTACGTATCGGTATTGCTTATGTAGGACATTATTCATGGTCACAATTCTGTGGTTCTTGATTCAACGTAGTCAATCCGAAATGGGCTGCGCATGTTGGTGCTATCATTCTTGCAATTCAAAACATGAGATCCATCTTCAGGTGTAGCCAGAGGCTGTTCCTATTCTCACTTCTTTACACCACCCGCTAAATGTGGTTGATAGGCAGTTTTACCCTAGTAGTTACCTTAATAGATGAGATCTCTGCACATCCCTAGAACTCGGGTGGCATTTGCTTTTCTCCTTCACCTTTGGCTTTGAAATGACTTTAGTCTGTCCCTGAAAACTAAAGTCTGCTATACTGCGATATATACTGTACTACGGCATAAACAGTTCTGCTCTGTTGTTGCAAGACTCGCCTCATTCGCGCAGGTGTGTAGAACCTCAGTTTCTGTGCACTCAGTGGCCACCTTACATTAGTACTGACTTTCATCAGCAAGTTTACACGCGAGACGAAGCTGAACACGCGTACTTTTACTGCATCAGGCTTCAGTCGCCTGGGTATTGCTTCGCATGTTTACCCAGGGTTATATCGTCGGCCCCCTGTGCGCGCGCTGAAGTTGTCTGGAAGCGACAGACTGGCTTAAGCTCAAAGTACCCAACTTCTAACATGACATTGGTGGGATTCTCCCGACCAAGACTTAGGGACCCAACGGGATCGTTGGGAGTTGTGCTGATGTGCATGCTACTAGTCAATCCTCTTATGGCATCGTTTTAGTCTTTCTCGTTCTTCAGCTTAGTTCTCCTTGAAGCATCAGGGCATTTCATCAGCTATATTGGCCCTTACTTCTCGCCATACATGCTGACCACCCACCTGCACCAATTTTGTTGTTTCATCATTTATGGTTACGTTTCACAGAACTCCTCGACCAGTGTTCAGGTCGCAACACCTTCCATTTTTCCATTTCACCATGTCACTCATTTCATGCGACTCTTGCTTAAATAGTAATGCCAATTACTTGTTTGGAATTCATCACCAAAACTATATACTGCGATCCCGATGTTAGCGGCATTGCTTGCTCCCAACGCTGCACTCCACGGTATGTTCCATCCTCCTGGCTTCCTTGGACTTCCACCTACACTGTTTGCAGCTTCCACCTCCGGTTCCTCCTCCGCCTGCGATGATTAACCCCTCTTTTTCACAGTGTACAATAGCCTGTAGATCCGTTTTGCTGAATGCCGTTTTACTTTTCGCATTACACCCACTCTGCTGTTTTCAGCCTTCCGTTCATAAAGCAATAGAAACCACATGTGGGCAAGCAATTGGCGGTCGCGTTTTGATCGCACAGCTACGGGTGACCGATGAAGATTCCAACCCGAACGCTGGTCCTTTCACGTGTCAGCTGATATTCGCAGGTGCCCCGCAAATCATGGTGGACCCTATGCATGTTGGCCATTTGTTTTTTGTGCGAAACGTTTCGTCAGCTTCGAAAAACCTCACCGCAGCCAAGGAGACTCATCACTCAGGAGAATGTCTCTTGTATGCTGCTGACCGACTACCAGTGAGTTCTGAGCAGTTGATGCTTTTTGCACTTTGATCCACCTTTTCCTTCATTTCTACTGTCATAATTCTATCTAGAATACATCTCCGACCTCTTTTATCCACCCACCACCGGTTTTTTCTACGGTGTGCTCCGAATGCGATACCATGGGTCATTTTCGTCATAACTTTACCATGTGCTGCGTAAATTCTGCCCAAAGAACGTTTTCCCATATGCCTCAGTCGTCCCACTGGTGTATACCAGGAAGCGTTATTCAACGGGAGATTGATAGGCATTATCATCCTATTTGCTTGTAATCCGGCAATATGTTGTCACATTTACGTATATTTAATTGAGAGCCGCATGCATCACATTTGTTCTGAGGGGTGCTGCAAAGGATAGTAACTAGAAACCTATGTGTTTTATCAGACTATTAAAAACCATGGGAAACGGTGCAACGTATACTTATCGTTTGAAGAACAAGTAACGGTACCAGCGGTACGCCGACACGCCGTACCGAAGTTTCGCTGCCACGGGACCACCAGCAGTCGCGTAAGGACTGCGTATATCACGGAGTTTCCCGCACCTACGCGGATTTGAACTAGTGATCTCTGGATTACAGGGTAATCATTTAATCTTCTCGGTCACCAGCTGATGGTTATGAGTAAACGCAGACCGAACACAATACAGAGAAATCCTTTGTCTTGTCAGAGGATGCGCTGCTTCTCGATCGCCCAAACTGAAGTTGGAGTTTAATTAGGGGCACCACCCCGAGCCTTTGACTGAGTAGCCTACCTGCAAAGCAGCAGAGGGAAGTCGTGGAGCCGATGATCGAGTGATCACTTTTACGTTCTTCGTCTAGTGGCTTACCAATCGGGGGCCCAATCATCCCCACAACTTCAGCAGCAGGTTTCTAGGATATAATTATAAATTGGTATAATCTCAACTCGCTAAGACACGGCCCAGCTAAGCTGGTCCGAACATAAGGTACAAATGAGATGCGAACTGAATTTACAAAACTGCTGTGCAAGAACATGCGATTCCATTTCCATTGATTCTTGCTCCATTGATTTCATTTCAAATTTCTTCGGGATTCACGATGGTAGCAAATCGTTCCGTTCTGAAAAGAAAACAAAATAACATTGTTTAGGAAGGTGAGTGACAATATGCATATAGCAAATACAATCACCAAAATTCATAACTTTGGTGTATAACAATAGCTTTACAAATAGTGATAGTGTGTGAGCAGGCAGTTAAACTGAGCACTTTCTTCATCATGTATTGATGACGTACATCACACAGGGTAAGTAGAATAGCGTGTACCGTGCATTAAGCACGGTTTGGCCGCAGATCATGTGACGTACCCCATTCCAATTTCGATCTAACAGTATTACGCTTACTGGACTACAATCTTCCAGTTGATCACATCCTCAATGCGATCGCTTTCACCCGTGAGACAGCATCTTTCCTCCGTAGCACATAATCCGGTAACCGTCGAGATTGCATCCAGGACCGCAGTGAATGGTCAACTGTTATCAGCCACTAGCATTTTGGCATTGTGCCAGCATGGATGTTGAACCTACATCCATGTGCGACACAGGTCAATCGCGCTTTTGGGGGGGGGGGGGGGGGGGGACGGCTAGCAGTCTTTGGTTACACTGCAGCTAAACCCACGCAAGGTACGACACTGCGTCATCAAACTCAAATGGGCGATACTTGCTGCCTTGCTACACGGACCTCAGTCACCAGCTCCTCTAGGTGAGCAATATGTCCGCGCGCGCTATCATCGGCCAGCAGAGTGTGTGGGAGTGTGGAATCACGCTCCCTACTCACTTCAGGTTTGATCCCGTATCCCAAACATGTTCGTCTTGACTCCGGAATTGTGCTGATTTCGCCTTGTGGTTTGGGCCAGTCCGTGCACCAGCATCTGATTCCACACACCCGATTGTCCAACGCTGGCGCGCGCAGACACATTACGCACCTAGACGAGCGCATGGTTATGGTCTGCGTGGCCCTAGCTTCAGTGTAACCAATTATTGCTACCCACAACCCCTCAAAGCACGATTGGTTCTAAAGCTATGCTGGCAAATTGTCCGCAGAATATTGACTGATTACGGTTGACCAGTCACTGCGGTCCTGAATGCAGTTTCAATGGTTATCGAATTATGCGCTACGGAAGAACACTGTTTCCTCAAGGATGAAAGCGATTGCGTTGAGGATTTAATCAATTTAATCAATCAGACTTCTCGCTTATTTAGACAGCAACAGACTTAATGAATTAGGCTTGGTCACTTCTTTCTGGCTGGCAGCGGGGATGTGATTTTATTTCGTCTGCCGATAAACACTGGGTGTGTCCCGATCGCACCACCACACTCAACGACTGGTTCCGTGATCGTTTGCGCTCTTCTGGCAGGATGGCGACTGGAACTCAGTTCACCTCAGTGGAACAACGCTTGTCCGCGCAGTGGATCTAGTTACCACCGCAACTCACCTCGCTAGAATAACAATGAAGAACAACAGCAGTAAAATGCGGTGAAATACAAATAAGGTACGAAGGAAATTGTCACAAGAAAGTAGTGCGTTAAACTAATAGCTATAAAATGAGAATGAACAGCTAGATACATGAAGCCAAAAGCAGGAACTCCACTGACTGCGGGACTGTGCTATGTCTGATAGAGTCTCCAACCAATGGTGTAGACCATTCCGAGGCTCCTATCTATGAAGACGCCACACACCAACCTGACCAAGTCTCTCGGTCAATTTCTTCATGCCCCCTATGCCACGTTATGGACTGGCCACCTCGCAGTGCATTCACGGCGCATGACGCACGCTAGGAAGCCGATCAACTCTTGGAAGTGGCCAAACCAACGTAAGCGATTAAGATTCAATGAACACTCGAGTGAGCCACCAGGCCTCTTTCGAAAGCCAACGAATGGATCTCAGAACTGCTCATCCGGTGTTCCCACCAAACATGAGCAATACTTCGCAAGCACCAGTCTTCAAACACGGACAAACGTCTGATATCTTCGCCACGAACTGGCCAGGTCTGTGATCCATAAAGTAAAATTGGCCTTATCACATCGTTGTACACGTTGGCTTTCTCTGACAGGCTGATATCCAGCCGTCTCCGTATGGGGTAAAGTCTCAGGAAAGCCACACATACCTCCTCGGTAATGTAGCCATCAGATGGGATACGAATACCAAGATAAGTGAACCGATCCACCACTTCCAGTAGTTATTTGATGATGGCTGAAACCGGTGTCGTATCTATGTCGTTCGCATACACAAGGTTTTACACTCGGTCACATGGCAGCATGTCCACTTCGAGAGCGTCTGAACGAATAGATCCTTTCATGATCATTTCGGTCACCTAGTTGAAGAAGAAGAAGAAGACGAAGAAGAAGAAGCAAAGAGATATCCGACAACGCTGGCGAATTCCACTTGTTAGTGAGGAACTCAGGGGACAGCTTCATATTCGTCCCACTCGTTCCTGACAGTGTAAAGACTGGTTACTGTCCACATGCCGCAGTCCTTTTTGTACACGTGCTCTCTCGTCTTACGTAGTGTTCTTAGCTTTTCGCTGCTTCCTTTTCTCTTACCATTTGCAAGTCACCTTGCTAAATCATATTTGTTATTTATCTACTGTTTTTCTCATGTTCTCATCTGTCTAGTTTCATTCACTGTCCCTCTTTCTCTGTCTTCTTAAATAAGTAAATAAATTTTAAGTGTTGCTCGCCAGAAACACTGCAATCCGTCTGAACCCTTTTTGATATCATCAGATGGAGATAGCAGGTTTTGAATCCGGGACCATTGGGATGTTAGTTGTAAGCGCTACCCTCTTTTACTACTGGGTCAGGAGGGACAACGCTTGGTGCAACGGTTAATGACTGATGGGTCATTTTAAAGTACACCTTGTGTGCATGGATTACGACTCTCAATCTCAATGTGGATCACGATTCCCATTGAAGTGAGCTTTTACCAGTTCGAGCACTGGGGTATACCGTGATCACACTGCGAATCGCGGCCCATGAACATTAATTTTCGACATATTCATGTTTGGCACAACACGTGGGCATCCCATAAATTCGCTGAGATTGGCCAAATGTCTTGGCATGAAAGCGTGATAAGGTAAAACGCAAAAGATGGTCGGGACCGCTGGCGAATGTACCTCGTCTGTGTGCATAGGTTTTTTGTGAGATTGGGCCCGGCAGCAGCGCGTTTCTTGGTGAAGATGCCACATTTGGATGGCGTATTGTGCTTACGGCTTCACGTACGCGTTTAACATCTGTGTAAAGAAAGTAGGATTGAACCTGCCAAACGCCATCCGCAGTGCGCCTAGGTGTTGGCTAGCTTTCTTCACTGCTTTCTCCGCCTGTGTTGATCCTCCGAGACCGTTCTTCACGAGTACCCCGAAATCACTTTCATAAAAAGCGCGCTACCAAACTTGTTTTTCTAGTCGATCTTCGTAGATGCTGTGGTTACTTATGCTCATTTTTCTACATTTTGCAGCGTTGCACTCAAGCATGCTCGGAGCTGGTCTCTCTTAAGACCTGTTGCAATCACCTTGCAGTGCGGTGTGGTCGTTTACTCTCTTGATTACCCGCCAAATTTTAAGATCATCCACAGAGTACACGGTTGACGTGAGCATTCCCGCGAGGTCATTTGAGAATACTAGGAATAACCGAGTTGCTATTACCGAACCTTTAGGGACGTCACAGTTAAGCTCTATCTGGTCGGATAGGTCACTACAAACTCGCACGTTCAAGCGGCGTGATAGTAGGAATGAATGAATCCAACCAAGACAGGCTCACCGATCCCATAGCTTTGAGGGTTGTAAAGAAGAATGCAGTGGTCTAAAGGATCAAGTCCGATAAATCGAGGTATGCGGTATTGTGTCCTGCTTCAAGATCGGCGGATCCCGTCCAACTGGTACAGCTGTCAAAGAGTTTGTGGTAAGTAAGTGGTTTTGGCAGAATCTATGCTGCTCCCGCACGATGATGTTGCACGTTTCTAAATATCCCGAGTGTTTCCGCAACAACTGATTCCATACCACCCGAAGAAGTGTAATCGGGCGGTAGTTTGCGAGCCCAACACGATTGCTCCCCTTGTAAATCGGTGACTATTCAACACTTCCACATAGAATCTACGTCTTGTTGAGACAGCGCTGAAAAAACTGGGATAACAGCTCAGCTAAGCTCCTGGCAACTACTTCCAGTTACTTGGATCGTGTCATCACAGCCAGGTGAATCGTACTCGCATAGTAACAGCTGTCGCTTCAGCACATCCGCGGCATTGAAGCAGTTGTAGCTAAGCTAAAAAGCTGTGGGATGGTTGTGCGTTCCGAAAAGTTCGAATGCGCTGATGTCTAAGAGCGTTAGCTGCTTCTTGCGCAGTTTGCGCTTACCCACAGACGGCCTTTAGAGGCGAGATGCCTCGCTGTACTTTGCTGAGTTTGTTAACATGCCTGCCAACTAGCTCCGGATTAGAGTAGAACCCCTTCTCTGAATTCTGCTGATGATTCAATTTGCCTCGCGGACGAATTTGTCACAAACCTTTCGCTCGGTTATGTAGGCATTCCACTTCTCGGTGCTAGTACTGGCTTTGTGTGCTTGCTAAAGTTAATCTCTCGTGAAGGACTTTACCTTGTTCGTTACGAGTCTTCATCCTTGATGAGTTCATTACTAACGTGCTGAACTGGTCGACGAATTCCTCCTAAGCAATATCGGGAGCTGTTTTGCTAAAAACGACCGATCGGTCACCTTGATGAATTCGAGTAAAATGCTGTGGTGCTTTAAGATACAATGTTCCCGTTGAAGTGTTTTGCGTAACAGACGTGTTGGGAAAGCAATGTTGCATGCTCTCTGCGCCCAAATGAGCTGCTCAATGATACTGTGTCGATCATAAGGTACTCATTGGTAAACACGAGGTCCAGTATGGCCGGTTTGTTTTCCGTTTAGAATCTCCTAGGAGAAGTGACGTGATTATAAAGGGGTAGATCAGTGACTAGTTCTTTTCGTTCTGCCTTAAACTGTTCACTAAGGGAAGCTGATCCCTGTGGGCTTGCAAGTTGAATTTTCCGACAAATAAAATGCGACTGTTAGGCTGAGCCAGAACGGTTTTTGGAACAGGAGCTAGAGGGCGGTCCATTTCTGGAGGGGCCATCTAGGGACGATATACGAAGGCTACTAAACATGTGTCACCAATTCTTGATTGCAGATGGGTCCAAAGTGAGTCCGCAATCTGGATCCATGCGTCATCAACGATTCGGAAATGTAGATCACTGCGATGGTACAAAAGCACACCACCTGCCTTACTAAGTCGATGTTTTCGTCCGACGGACACACCCGGTAGAGCGATCTCTACATCAGTGATTTCATCGTGCAGCCAGGTCTCAGTTATCATTATCAAGTCCACAGATATCGAGAGTTAGCGAGGTTGAAACTCCTATAATGTGCTGTGGTAGCCCTGATCATTGTTCTACATACTGCGGAGCGCTTCGACTATCAGAAGCGTATCGGAGGTGGCAAGTGTCAGCTGCATGCTTTTACCGACCCTTGTTAAGTCGGCGACTAATACTATTTTTGAAAAACTGTTGATATTAACTCTTGAGCAACTTCATATTGACTAACAGAATGCTCACAGGATGAATTTCCAATTTCTGTAAGCTATGGAAGTCGCTGCTACTTCGACAGTAGGCTGCGCTGGGCAGTAGTCCGTATCGGAAGTAAGAATTAGTGGGGTCCCTGTTAATCCCTGATGACTGCTCTCTCTCAATCAGCTGGGGTCTGAGAGGTGCTAGTTTGTCTACTTAGGCCCCCTTTCAGGTCTGTGCTTCGTCATGTATCTATACTGGAGCACATCTTTCATAACCGTGGGACCATGCCCTTTGTACTTTGATAATGCGGGTAGTCTTCAGATAGCTTTAGGGATCCCCTTGTCAGTTGAAGGCTCTTGACGAATGTAGCGGCATTCTTCACACTCATAGGATTGAGCTTTACCTTTATCGGAGACTTGAAGCTTCGGGACACCTTGAATGAAGATTAATGTCTCCATCTTCTCTTGATGATAGTCATCCGCGTTCTGTTTTCTCAGCTATCGTTTGCTCCATTGAACATCTGCGAAAATGCGAACATCACATGAGTCAATCTGAAGACGAATGCTAAAAGATGTATCGCTTTAACATAGTTTGCTGATTATAACGTCACTCGTAGAAGCAGTGGTTCATCGTGCTGGGCCGAGTTTGGATGCTGTACGCTGCGCATCATGCTAGCCGGTTTAGCGTTAATAGACATATGGTGTCTCACTGTTTCGTTCTTCTAACAGCTTTTCTTTTATTGAGCTCGCTCTAGATTCAGGAACGCTGGAACATACGACCGTGAGGGACTTGTGGGCTCGTCTAGTAGTAACCGGTTTTAGAGGGAATGGGATCTGAGTTTTTAATGGAGCGATGGGCACATGTGCGACACTTCTTTCCCTCTGTGTAACCATAGGATTAGTTTCTGCTTCTTGGATAGCGGCAACGGATGCGTACGTAACCACTCCTTCACGTATGTCGATATAGCTTGCTCCACATAGTTGTTTTCCTGCAATATCAGTTGGGCCAGGACGGGACTCGCCATAGTAGATGGAGCTTGGTTGTTTGCTTGTTTTCGGATTGGAGTTGTTCGTGTATCTGGCTTCACAGTTTCAATCTTACCCTTGACTTGGCTGTTACGCTCAGATGTAGAGCCTTGTGCCCTGAGCCTGGCTGAGGTTGATTCCTATGCGGGAGGTTTACCATGTCCAGATTCTTCGACTATCGCCACTAGGTTATTACTTATCAGTGAGCCCCTTGTGGTTTTACGTGCGCCGATCTTATGCAGAGTCGATGGTGTCCCAGTGCCGCGATGCATCTAGTGACGCTACTCATATCAGGGACGTGGCCACTGCTTACTTATGACATTAGCGGTCTTAATCGTCATTTACCATCGTACTTGTGAGTTACCACTGAGGCCTGATGACGCCGCAGACCAAGCAGCACCGATGTCGTCTAGTTGGAGTTTGACAATTAGCATTCGGATACTTCAACTGACCACTGCTTTGCTCTTGCACTGCTTACAGTGTTTAGGTCATGCTTTTCACAAACTACCAACCACTTTTCCCGGAGCCAATCGTTCGCGGCTGCTGCGCTGGGTTAGACGAAATCCTATGGGTCTACTCGAGGGCATGTCGTAGAACATGAATATATTGATGTAAACGCATGTTGTTTGGACCGCCGGGACATATTGTCTTCTTGAATGGGTCACCTCCGTGGTTGGAGTGTCACCTGACATAACTCAATCGGAAAACTATTTGCGGCCTCGTGCACGGTCCTCTTCGTTTTGTCGCCCGCATTTTGTGACTTGCTTTTAACAACTTTCTTTGATTATTTCAGTCGTTTTTCGTCCGGAAGTTTCGTTGCATTTTTCCCATTAATTTCACTTTATTGTCTCGTCGACTGGAGCATTAGTAACTGGGTCCATCGCGTTTTGGAGTTGTGATAAATAAATAAATCATTTATTCTCGACAAGACAAAGCACGCCTGTACATGCATGATCATGGTAAGATGTCAACGAATGATCAGGAAATGTACAAACACACATGTTTACCGTAACTGCGAATGCGTCTATGTGAGTGCATATTTGTATGCAGGCGCCAATGTCTATAGCTGTGTTTCTTGAATTTATGAATGTACCTCCGCATTTTTGACTATTTGATCACATCAGCAGTATGAGACCAGCTGATTGACCTTCGTGATTTGGATATGATTATCCGGATAACCAAAGAGCAGTGATTTTAGTTTGTGGCTAGTCACAAGCGCCACGTCGCAGTGTTGTTAACCAGACATTTCGGCGTTTTATAGGGAGAACGCTTGCCAGGCGAAAATCCACCACGTCCTGGAACACTGCCGCCTAATTATTTGCTAGAACGGGGTAAATTTGAACCACCCAGCTGGCACCACGAGGTTCTTCGGTTGGTACTTAACGTTCAATTTTCATGTTTCAGCTGGCAAATTTGTTGCATCTTTTTCTTCCGTGATATCTATCGCGGTGTCTGGTCACAGTAAACCACAACCTTTTATCACTTAACGGACGAATTACTGTTCCGTACTCTTTCATGATCTGTTCACAGTCTGCAGACGGAGTTAAGTCTCTGCCAAACCCGTCGCATTTCTACACTCGTGTCGAACTCCCTCACTATGTCATTACGTCGTTTTTTGTTGCTCTCATGTAGATAGGAAGTCAAAGTTTGGTTCTACGTGCAAATGACAACGGCCTAACCGCATTGCACACGACCGTGACTGTGACTGTCCACGTCGTTAGACTGGATAATCTCCCCCCGGAAATTGTCAAAGGAAACGCCACTCTCACTTATTATCGGGGAACTCAGTTTCTGCCGCAACCTGCATCCACCAGCGTCTCAGCTTCTTCCGCCCACTCATTTACGGATGTTGTTGTTGCACGCGTGATCGTTGAGGGCAAAACTGCTCACGACCGCCTCACTTTCGAATTGTTGCCTGGTAGCTCAGCATCTGGCCTTTTTCGTGTTGATAAATATGACGGCTCTATACGGACTACCTACTCTCCTACTGCGCATTTGTCCGCTACCGCCGGGACAGAATCTGGCTCCGCCACTCCCACTTTCTATGGACCACCAGCCACATCCTTCAGTCATCTCGACTCTGGCCTCTATCCCGTTCGTGTTCGTGTGTCCAATGGATCGTTAGCTTCTGAGGAGACTCTCTTTATTCAAGTGAGTCGTCATTGCGATTTCACCCTCTGGCACAGTTCAAGTACGATCAACATAACTTCTCCCCTCAGTTCAAGAGATACTGTTGTGTAGCGGTCAGGTGCCGCATTTGTCGCATAATTCATGTTGTAAGCATATCTAATTTTGCCTATAGTTTGAGTTTCATTCCTAAATTGAAATCCAGGGTCTCTTTATGTGCGTACACAATTATCTTCCGGTCGTATTGGACCATCTGCTCCACCCCCCGTTTGTTTCCCTCCACTAATCTGTTGCCATTCCAATGATCTGCTCCGGCGTCATGGCATACAACATCTCCTGAGATGACAAAATACTCGTCCAAATCGTGATTTGCACATGAAACAGCAAACGGATAGCTTTTGGGCTATCCTATGCTTCCTTGGGAGGAAAGTCACGTCACCAACGCGCTTTATGCACCCATGAAGAGTGAATATTTAGCCACAACATACACGCTAAAGACAGATTAAACTAAGGAAAAGCATACCAAACGTATGTGGTGCGCCAGCAATTTGAAAATATGTCTGTGGTGATATCATCGATTCAGGCTGGCAATAAGGTCTTGTTTGACTACATCTTGATCCCTCAGAAAGCGTGACGAATAGGGATAAACTGGCCTACTGTAAGTCCGTTTGCGGACCTAAATGGGTTTGTACGTTTGCCTGGTCGGAGAAGTCGCGATATATTCCGATAATGCACATTGGAAGGGTGGCTGACATCAGTGAGTATTTTGGACGCCATTTTCTTGCAGGAGTGAAAGTGATGTCAGTAAACTCTATTGTTAAAATTCTGCTATATCGAGCAAGCTGCTTTAGTGACCTGTTGATCACTTTGAATTCCCTGTGTAAAGCTCCATGAAATATCACAGACGAGCAATACGTCCAGCGTGGTAGTGCGCAAGCAGTGAAAAGCCTTAAGATCAAATAACGAGGCACAGGTGATGATCTTAGTCGGGAGATAGAATTATAGTCTCCTGACTTGAGTGAATGTTTCATTCACTTGACGGAACCACTTGAGATCCCGACTTAGTGTAACTCCTAGGTATTTAACTGCTTTACAGTTCAGACTGATACTGTCGATATAAAGGTGAGGAGTTACTGACGGCGATATTCCGTCGAAATCGAGAAAAGAGCATCTTAACACATTGATGCGTTCAGTGAAAGACAGCGGGATTTGGACCAGGCTGGAAGGTTGTCCAAGAAGTAATGCGATTTGGCCGATGATTCTGTGGTTTGTCTGTGCACACCAACGATCACCTCACCAGCATACTTTAGCAGGATGGCTTCTTTATGAACGGGAATTGCGCTAATGGAAGTGGAATATAGAATTGGGGACATGATAGCTCCCTAAAGAACACCGGAATTTGTGCTAAATGAAGTGGATCTTTTCCCCTTAAATCTGGCAAACTGCGTACGATTTGCAAAGTACTCTGTAAGTAGCACTATTGAAAGTTGAACTCCGGATACGAGCAGATCCTGTTGCAGTAGTTCATGGTTTACACAACCTGAAGCATTGATGTAATCTAGGAAGCCCAGACTGTACAAGACAAGCTAATGCGTTCAAAGTGGACCCTGTACTGCAGTAGGCGAACTGAAGTTGATCACTTGAGAGGGTTTGGATCAGCACTCTTTCGAGAATAATTCATTCATATGTCTTAAAAGCGACCGACGTACAAGCAGCAGGTCGGTACTTACTGGTTCTTTTTTGCTGAAGGTGTGATGCTGGCGTTTTGCCAGCTGTCGGCTATCTTGTGTTGATGTAAGCACATGGTGTGCAGTTCAGAAAATGGCTGTGCCAAGACGTTAGCACATTTATTGAGAACTATAGGAGATAGTCCGTCCGGCTCGGGCGCTTCTGTATCTGTATTAATTCCTTGTGCTCTTGCGCTACTTATGGGTGCTGAAGGTTGTGGGGAGTTGCAACGATAAAAAGGTAAGTGTAATGCTGGATCATTTATCTGACGACAAAAGTTGCGGTTTAATGCCTCCACCTCGAGATCTGTGTGCGTGTGGCGCTGCGGACAAATCCACTCAGATTCTTCACCGTTTTCCACATTTTTTCAATTATTCTTTCAAAGTATAGTTTGGACATAAATATGGTTAAGACGGTACATATCCATTTTTATATCACTCAGCGAGGACTTTAGTGAAGCGGCGTCACTGCGCCTGAAAATATTTTCTGCGCAGTCTTTTAATGGATTGCGATAAAAATCTATCTGCGCGGATGAAGGTTGTTTCCAAAGGACAACAAATATCGGAACAAAACTTCAAATGATTGATTAGCTGATCACACTACTTTGATACATCTGTTGTAAAATAGTTTAAAGTCTATAGAGACAATAGTTTCGCGTAGTAGCCTAATGTTGCGGGGACGACATTGTCTTTGCATTAACTCGGGATTTTTGAAGCGATTAATATCCTTATGTTTCTTTTTGTCATAGCTTATAAGAGGTAACTTTATGGTGGCATGGTCTAAGCTTCTAAGCGGTGCCTTGTTACAAGCAGAAATACTTTTAAGTTGTTGGCAAACACTAACTCTAGGGTTGCTTGTAACCCGGTTGCAGATTGCACGATAATCTTCAGTTCAAGTTTGAAAATGAAACTGGTGTCGAATCGATTGAAGAGTCACCGGCAAAGCACAAAAATCTAATGTTAAATGAGGGTAGTTGTGAAATTGCCATGAACTTTTTCCGCCTCAACTGTAGAAGAGCTAGGCGAAATGTGAATGTTGCCTAATAGGCAACAGAACGCGGATATCTGCTCAAGTATCAATACTCGCATTTCTCAAGTACACATACACTAATTTATGCCGACCTTCTGGCCTGTAACCAAGGGTTATCCTTTTTGGCATTCGTAAAAGTGTGATTTTTGAGTATCCAAGCCAACGTGCACCTGGTGGTAGATGTGTTAATCCTAATAGTCGGAATACGGTTCCGGTGTACTATATATACCTCACATTTTCACCAGTTTACAATAAAGGTGCTATTTGTCTTTGACCATAGTTCCGGTACTTTACTCTCTTCTATCGCGTTCAATATTCCTCTGTTTCTGTATTCTACATTTTTTTTACTCAGGTGATAACAATTACGGACGACATGATGGAGTCTGCCGTAATTGTTCGGATATCCAATCTGTTGCCAAGCCTATTTTACATGGAGAATTATGATAGACGCCTGCGTATACGTCTTGCGTCGTCCTTGTTTCCAAGTTCACATCAGCTCGGTTCTTCGAGTGTTGAAAACTCTATCTCCCGGACCGAGGACGTCTACATACTGGCCGTCCAGGAATCTGATCCTTTGTTACTTGGTTCGGGCTCAGCGCTCCGTCGAACCCCGCGAAGTCTAGGTCGTTCCATAGACGTTCTGATTGCAGTTTATGATTCGGAGCATCGCGAGTTCATTACCCCTCGCGCAATCTCAGAGGCCGTGACTCGCGTGTCAACATCCATCTCCGCTGAGTTTAATGGTCAAGTGGAAGTAATCTACGATGTGTGCACCTTGCAGGTGGGTTTCCATGTCGTGTTTGTATCCACCTTCACCTGAGCTTTGACGTACGTTCTGCGGACGTCGTCCTCGACTCAGCCACTCAGTGGCTTCGTACTCGAGGTTGCGCCTTGACTCCATTTCGAATCCTTTGGGTAATTTGTTTACTATGCATTCATTTTGTCGTTCCTGTCTTTTGAGTCAGGGCGCGCCTATCGGACACGACAAACTGTACAGTGGATTGTATTGCTCTAATCGCACATCTCAGGGAAATGATGACCTCCCTGCGATTTACGGGGACTTACTACAATACATGACTGTGCGAGGCTGTTCCTGATAACTATCCAGTCATGCATACAAACGATGTGACCTCACACCAATTTCTCAGACACCAACAGTATCTTAGTTGGTTGTATGTGACCCTGTACCTATGGATTCCCGGTGGATGAAGTCGCTACACTTTTTCCCGTTCGCTGTTCTGTAGGCTTACTGTCCACCTTGTTCTATCATGCCGTTGTGTTTTAAATGCATTTCTTTTGGCTTTATCACCATTATTTGTTCTGATCATGATGCCACTTGATTTCGTTGCTCTATGTGACCCTCACGCGCTTGAACTGCGGCCACGCCGGTTGGCAGAGACCCTATTATCTTGTGTGCTATGTGGAGTATCCATAGAAACACATTGACTTGTTTCGTGCAATCACGCGTTGGGACGGGTTTGAGAAGCCATTTTAGAGTTTCTGGTTGCAACTTCGGTTAGTAGTATTTGAATGGGGTGTTCAAATCAGCGAAGAAATTTCTTTTCGACAATTCTCATACGTACATAAAACTGGTTGAAATTACGATCGGTTAAAATAGCTAGGCTACGGTTAATTCAGTCTAAACAGGCTGCTCTGTTTGTCCATCTGACTCTACAACTTGCTGACATGGCTAGGAGTCGACCTCAATGACGTTCGTGTTGTGCGTTTCTTTGTCCCACCCCATCCCTCTTAGCCTCAGCCTCCTATCACGATCTCATTTCGTAGCATAATATAATTTTACATAATTATTTTTTGTTGCCTAATAGCCGGCTGGGAGCTTTCCGGAACAATGCCCATCCGTTACTGGCAGCTCAGCTGGCATGCAACTGTAGCATTTTTTCTTTTTTATGTATTGCGGCACAGTAGCCAAGGTGTTTTACACCTCTAACTAACGTTTATAATGATGATTGATGAGATGGGTCCTGTCTGCCTCCACCTTCCGCTCGGTTGCGAAATGGATTGTTGTTTTGTTAAGCACTGCTTTAAAGGGTTCTTTTGATTTTGTCTCAGCGATGAAATAGCTGAGAGTATATGGGAAAGTAGTGCTATCATTCGACACCGAGTCACTTCACAAACGTTCCGTTGCCATAAATTGTCAATTTCACTTGTGTTTACATGACAAGATAATGGTATCCCAACGCGTAAATTGAAGGAACTGATCTTGCGATGTACGTTTGATAGGCAATTCTTTTTTGAATGATGTTATTGTAAACAGTTGGATGGAGTTGCAATGGAGTCGTCCCTCGGACCATTGCTTGCTGACATTTTCCTTGCCAAGATTGGACATGGGCCTCTCTGACCAATCATCGCGTTGCTTGATTCCTACGTGGATGGTACATGTATGATTTATGATTCAAACAACATTTGTAACGCAGAAACGTTGGAAAACAAAAAGGAATGCATCCTTATGCCACTGCAGTGTACCGGTTACCCCGCTCCTTTCATTCGGAGGCACTGTGTGATCTGTGACCATGGAAAAACCACCGTGATGGTGTCGAAAAAGGATCTTTATCATACTGTCCCTATCAAAGAGGATACATTCGGGTTATACTGTACAGGAGACTCCTAAATGCAGTAACCAAATCGTTCCTTGCTGCTTACCCGCATGTTGTCGCAGTTTCTTAAGCATCAACTGTCGGTTCAGTCCGAAACTTTTATCCTAAATCAGTTTACTCGCACCTGTGGTGTAATATACCTATAACACGATCAGACGCTTGGCTAATCGGATAGCAGATCATTGCCCATCAGTATTGTGGAAGCGACAGTTAGACGTATCAGCAACTCTATTTTGGAACATTTAATCCCAAGCGGGCATCAGCTCATAACCGCAAAGGCTTTCGACGTTTCCTATGCCATGCCAGAATGATACACAAAAGGACTTAAAAAGCGCCTACTAATGACGGTCGTGACCATTGCGATCCAACTAATGCAACTTGAACTGTGCAAACAGAGGACGCGAGTTCGGACACTTCATTTACCGTGGCCCTAATCTCACTGTGAGCGCCGCTCACCTCGATCACAGGCGATGACTCCGTCACCCCATCGGACGGCCAAAACTTCAAGCTCATGTGGATGCGCATGTACGTTACTATCATCATCATCGGATGGACAAACAAAGCAGCCTGTTTAGACTGAATTAACCTATTTCAATTTCAACCCGTATTGTATGTGTGGCCTGATGAGAATCGTCGAAAAGAAATTTGCAACCATTAGATCCCTTTGGTAATTTAAATAAAGCCGTAAGCAGACAAACACTGGCGGATTTCTACTTTTCGTATTTTTTCTTTAGTACCAACACGATAACATGAAAATATCTAAAACGACAGGTAGGGTGAGACCGAAACAAATTAGAACAGCATGAAGAGCAGGTGTGGCACCCCTACGCTCATGGCAGCAGTAGGCCACACGCAGTGCGGGTTTGATACGACTGCTCGCGTTTACCTCTGCGAAACGTAAGTAACGGGCGTTAGTATGTTTTAATACGATTGTAAACATTGTGGCCGGATCAAACGGGTGACAGGTGGCCAGTAAATGCCTGCCTATGGATGAAGCAGGTGGTTTACGTGAACAGATGGTATGAGCAACCGACGACTGGATGATTTGACGCTGCAACCATTTAGGTACATGTTCCCTTATTCTGGAATTCAACCCTCGATTGGTCCGGCCAATGTAGTGTGTACCACAAGTATTGGTAAATTGGTAAATACAGTGTGAGTTGGCGTCAATAGGTTGTCTTTCCGTCATTGGGGTAACAGATATTCGATTAGTCCGGTTGATAAGAACTGATTCAGCAGCATAATAACTCCTCCGGACTGCGGAAATTATGCGCTTCGTTGTCCTCATATTGGCAAAATCACCCTTAAATGGGAGCTCGAGGTAAACCTACATTTTAGCAACTGTCGAAACCTGTCCCGCAACCTCGCCTGATCACGTTTATCGATGAATCTTCCTGGATAGCATTTTTCAACCACGTGTCCTTGAGTGAATTTATCTCATCATATAAACTGTCGTTGGTGCATCTATTTCTTGCACGGTTGAATAGCGTCCGCTTGTACGACACTGGGTAAAAGCTGGTACAGTGCAGATACTGCCCCGATCAAGTCGGTTTTCAGTAAACCTCACTTTTGATGGACCCATTTGCTCTTCGGCAAGTCAACACGTCCAGATATGGGTGGCAATTGCTTCTTTCGTTTCGCTGGTTGCTTTCAGATTTGTATATACGTTATTCAGCTAATCAGCCAGACGCACGATGTTCTCTTCTGATGAGCTAAACACCAAAATATGATCCACCTACCGCTGATAGTAGGCAAGAATCGGTATTTCTAGACTCACCTTCGTTTCATACATCGACATGAGAAAATCTGCAAGTACTGAGGCCAACGGTCTACTCATTGCCACCCCAGCTATCTGACGATAAGGGATGTTTTGGAAATGGAAACGGATGTTCTCAGTGCATAGTAGTAGCCTGTCCTTCAATAATTCGACTAGTATTAAAGGAGTTACATCGGAACACTGTGTCAACTCACACATATAATCAACTGTTGCATGTAGCGGAACATTTGGCGAAAAGCGATTGTACTTCCAATGAGGCCATGATTTGATCACAGTGATATGTGTTGTCCCCTTCGAATTGCATCCATTCTCTTTGCCCACCTATGTGACTGGTGTGGAAGTTCCCCTTACCCGCAACTGTTCATCCGCGTTTTCTGGTGCATTAATCCGTACTCCTTGAACTCATCGCAATTGGAACTAAGAGCTTGGGATGCTGACCGCGGTTCACACCGTAGTGAATCGCGATCGTACGTGACATTATTGCTGTTGCTATTCGACCGCGCACACCGCCGAGTGCTTCAAATCAAACAAAAATGTGGGGTAATTATCTTTTTCGTTCCCACTGCAGTTCTGTCCACGCGGCCGTTGCGTCACACGCATTGCAGTGGACCCCCACGGCCTCATGAATCGGATTGAAATTCACCGTGTGAGTCAGGTGTCTCCTCGATTCACCATGTTTCCGACGTGCCTGTGTCCGCCACATTTCACCGGCCTGCGTTGTGATATCCCCTCGGACTCGTGTGCGACTGCCACGTGTCCCGCCCCTCGTATCTGCATTCCACGGGACAGAAAGTCACATGTTTGTGTGTGCCCGCCACCACGAACAGGACCGAACTGCGAATCTGTCCAGCCTATCGTTGGTCAACAGGACTCATGCTACACGGAGCAGTGCTTCAACGACCGTGGTAAGATTACTCACATGAATTACTTTTGTCCCAGCGACAGTCTGTTAAACACATCCGATCTGGTGTTTATGTTACAGGTTTGCCGATGATTTGTACTTTTCCCACTTACCTAGTTGTCTTCCGTACATTACTCGAGAATATGTGCAAACCATCCTATCATCACTTTTCTTATTCGTTACAGAATATGGCCCTCTGCAATTTGACGGGGGTTCGTTCATTCACTGGGAATTGATAAATCCCGAACATGATCGTTTCGAATTAGCCTTTCGGTTTAGAACTCGTCAACGTGCTGGAACTCTAGTCGCAGTCCGTTGGAATGCTTTACGAACGTTCCACATTCGTCTGGCCACCGGAGGGCGGTTGGTGGTGTCCTCTACAGGATTGAACGATGGGTTGTTCTCATCCGACTGGCTAGTGTCTGCAACACCATTGTCAGATGGGCTTTGGCATCATATTCGCTTGGTCCTCATTACAACGGACCAACACATCGTACAAGATTTGGCTACTATTCTATTCCACGTACCTGAAGGTAAGCATTTCGGGGAGTGTTGGCTGATTACTTCACCAAACATATCTCGTGTAAATCGAGAAAATTATTATTATTATTATTATTATTATTACGTTCTGACCAGTTATTTACACTTGCAGACTCCGCATCTCGAAGGGTCATTAAAAATCCACCATACAAACGGTGGTGGGTCGAGCTAACTGTTGACGGGATTCAGCCGCGTTCAGCCTTCATACACTGGGAGTTGAGTGACCCAAGGATGGTTGGCATTTTGTTGGGAGCTGATCCTGTGCGGGGATTCGGTCCCTTGGCTCCACGTCTCCCGCTCACGGCCGCTCCCATTTTGACAAGCACACCACAACTCGGCCGTCGGGCAGTGAATTATACAACAGATGAGCTGGTTGTTTTGCGTTCAGGAATCGTTGGTATGTTATCCGCTTCCCTTTATGCCTTGTTGTTTATAACGACCTTAATTGCATCTTTTTGTAACCGTTCCCTTGCAATTGACTCACCTCTGGAATTTCACTTGTTTGACACACCGGAACGTTGGTAAACGTTCTATTTGATTGCGCTGCACGCGCGAATTTATGGCTGTTGCGTCATCCGTCATTTGCTACAGTATTCACTTCGTTACATCTCTTTACTATCAATGTGTCTTCCTCATCCTCGGGTACCCAATCACGTTTTATGGGCTACATTCTTTTTTTAGTCAGACGGCTATCACTCATCTTAACTACTCGAATACCTCGGCGGGCTTCGCTGTTTTACAATCGAACTCTCCTGTGGAATAAACTCAGAGCGCCTGCACATATTCGATGACACGAGATACCTTCATTCATTTACGGTCTTCGAAAACACATACCAGTGTTACTTTTTCTGGTACTTACTTACTTTCTCTGGACTTATTCACTCCTACTCGCGCACCCACCGAGGCAGACTTCTGTCAACCTTGTGTGCTAGTTTTCGGCTAGTTGTCGCTTTCCGATCTGTCTCTATCTTCGCTTCCCTATTTACTAATTCCGTTGAGCCGAATATGTATCGTCATTTTTCTCTCAGACCAACACACCGAACTAATTTCATCTGAGTGACTCAGCAGCCCCAATATAGTACTCCAACAGTTCGATATGCAGCAGTGTGTTTGGCGGATGTTGCCTTCCTGGTGTCCGTGGGTGTGATAATTCGGTGTCGTTCAGCCTCCTTTGCAACACTCACTAGGTGTAGATAGTCCCTCTGATCTCCACGCCGCTTGGCCCTAAAAGCTGGTGGCCATCAGACTGGACTGCTCGTTTCCTTCCCTTAACAACACCAATAACCGTCGTTCAAAGGCATGCATACGACTTCGACAAAGTGTGGGAGGTCTCATGTCGACTAGGCACAGTCAATGCGTTTCCGATGTTTCCGCTGCGCCATGGCGCCGGCGGCTATCGCGGTAGTTCAACGCCCTCTGCTGTGACCACACTGGTACACCTAGTCAGGAACTAACCTGTTGCAAGCGATCGATACAATCAAAATGGTTTTATGTGGATCTAATATATACTTATTACACTGCTATACTTTCCATTTTATCGCATATTGAGAGAACGCGGATGAGCACCGACAATGCTCGGACACTTCAACCGTGATTGGTCTGAGCCAGTCTGAAACCGTCAATCGTTTGCAGTTGTTTAGAGTTGTTAATGCCAAGTATAGTATCGCCTCACTGCTCCAAGCCATGTCGGCGATGAGAACACCAAGACGAACAGGAACAACTATTTTTCGCCTCAGAACATGACACTGTTTGTACAGCCCGCAGTCCACCAAACAAACAGCAATCAAGACTAGTCAAGACACTGAAAACACCCGACCTAGCAAGCCAACGAGAGAGCAGTCATATAAAGCACCAGTCAGATGCACTCAACGAGAGCCACTTTATTGTGTCCAGTTGCTAGGGTTGACCAACCCAAGTAATGAAAGAAGGAAAAGCGTGTACGCGGCAAGCCGGAGTCTGGTGGAGATCAAAGAGGGGAATCCGGACGGATTCGACTTTAACTTAAACATGCCTCTAGTTTTAGCTGAATTGATCCTGGGCGTTAATCTCAAATCAACACTAGTCTGTTGATCGACGCCTTTCCGGTCTGTTTCGATTTGACCCTTGGACATTTGGGGCTGACATTTGGATGGGCGGATGATTGTTTTGATTACGGGTTGCGAGCTTCCTGCGCTCATGGGAACACACTTTCCTAGCATAATTCATAATGTTAATCTCAAGGGTCAAAACTGTGGTAAGCTATCATGATCACTGACTGTTATCGGCTACTAAAGCTGCAAAAAGAACGCTTTACCACAAACGTCAATAGATGCACGTAAAAACGCAAGCCTGCAGTCACGAATTGTCACACAAAATGCATCCCCGCTTAGCATTTCTCCAAACACTAGCGCAGCTGTGAATAAAGCAGCTTTAGGTTAACTAGTTTAGTTTTTCTCCGTGTTGGATGTTTTTGACTACAATATTTGCTAAGCTGAGAGATGTTCTCAGTACCTGGTATCGAGCTACAGACATTATCAATAAAAGTCTAATTAGTCTTGGACGAACATTCTTGAAATCGACAGTCTTTAATTGGTTGGAACCAGACTCCCAATCACTCTCTGAAGTTGGCATTCAATCGATTCCTTCTGGTGGAAGTGCTTACCAAGGAGCAGTTGTCCAGCTTGATATTTTTCACGAGGTTAGAGTTGGGATGGCTCGTATTTTTTTTATCTCACCTCATCATCTCAGCGAAGCGACCCTTGTGTGTTAACAGCCTTTTGCCTGAACTTCCGTTGTGTTCTTGCATTTGACAGTCTCAACCACGCTTTCTCTTTACAACAGATAATCATAAAGTTCAGTTTGCAAGGTGTAGTGACTTGCGTCATGGATTCACTGTTGTTGGCTTATACACCACGCGATTCGTCCTTAACTCCCCTCTTTTGCCCTTACGCACTGTCGGAGCGATTTCCCCTAGGTTACAATCACTGGCTTTGGTCATTATTTATTTCAGCTGTATTCAATGTCTAACTGCGGTTTCCCAACAAGCGGCTGAGAAATTGCTCTATGGAGTGACAAAATTTAAGCATGTTCTCCTTTTGCATACGTTGGATAATTTCTCCCCAAAACGAGCACATATTGTTAAACGAATGTCATGAACAAATGTTCATGAGGCTGTGTGTTGTCGACAAAATCTCGTTGCGATAGCGGATGACTACCCACAAACCCAACCGATCCTCACTGCCGGGGAGATTGCGGACAAAACGAAGCACTTTCCCACATCTTGCAGTCCTGTGCAGTAACCCATGATGCTTGCTGTAAGAGACACAATGATATCGTAAGCAAATAACCAACGCCCTTCGTCGTAATGGAGACCAAATCATCGCGAAGCCCCGCATCCCAGCGGCATCAACGTACATCAAGCCGGATCTAATGGTCATCAAGAACTCCACAGCACACCTAATGGACGTGGCAATATGCAACACCGACAGCATGTCCCGTAGTTACCAACTGAAAATTGACAAATGCGGTGTATGTGCTCATGCGAAAGCCATAGCCCGATTTTTGCTCTCGGAATTCCCTTCGGCATTAAATATCATGCATCATCCGATAATCATCAACAACCGGGGTCATATAGTCCCAGCCTCCGTCAAGCACGTTTCAGCACTGAGGCTCACAAAACTTGATCTATCCGGCTTGTGTGAGTCTACCCCGAGAGGATCCCTTCAAGTTTACGACACCTACGTGCCGGGGTGCAATTTCACAAAACATATCACGATGACAACATACACTCAGACGTTCACGAGCGATTCCAACCATATTTTGCGTTGTACATGGTTACTGTTTCAATATTACGCCAGAACATATGCCCAGTCTCGACGAATTTATGTAATGCCCAGGCCTTGGGTCATGCATGAATTTGCCGTAAATGTTCATGGACCTTGATTCATTTGAAGTGAACCTTGACCAATTTGATCACTAGGGCCGTGCCTGGAACGTATGGAAAGTGGGTGCTACCCACTCGATAACACTGCACTGCAATACGCGTTTCAACCTTATTTGATCTCGTCAGGTAAATGAGAGAGATAGCAAGCCTCGGACCTGGAACCATTGGGATTTTAATTGGGATCTCTCACTCCTCTAGCCACAAGGTTGTGGCGGGCAATGCTTGAGATATAACGGCTAATGGTTGTTTGGAGAGTTCTTGTGAAGTACTTGTTGTGTGCTTGGATTGCAACGCTGGATCTGCCATCACTACCTGATACGATCAAACCAGGTTGAAACGTGTGGTGGAGTGTAGAGTTTTCTGGCTGGCAACGCCCAGTTAAATTAACTAACTGATTGTCCACAAATCTCTCTTAAATCCAGCACCGGTGTTTTTATTCTAGTTATCAAAGTGCCACTTCACTCTTGTTTAAGACTGAATACTGTATTATAGAATCAAGTAGAAATCTTAATCTGTACAACTCTATGTAAATGTGATCAGAAACGTTAAAACAAATCAAACTACATATGACTTGTCACTACCCTGATCGTTTTTCTCGTTATCACGTGACATCGTAAAAAGTGTAACGCAATAAGTTGGCACTTAAAAATGTGTGATATCAGTGGGTAATCGTTCTCGGAATTTAACATTTGACTAATGCACTTCCAACAATCGTTAGAACCGTCGCGGCGGGTTTACTTTTCCTGTATGCTCCGGCAGACTGTTCCAAACATTGGCCACTTGCCATTCAAATCATAGGGTATGGGAAACTTGCTTCAGATCTGGGACGAAAAGCTTGTACTAATCTGCCACAAGGTATTCGCAAATGTAGCAGTGGCCTCAGTATATGAAACTCACCTAAATGCAGAATGCAGTAGATCTTAATGAGATCCACTCTGTTAGGAATAGCACCTACTAACGAACGGATCAGTGAACCCAAAAAGGATCAAAGTCCACCCATTTTCCAGAAATCCAGCAGGATACTCACCTTGATTAATCAAAAGGAATGTGCTCGAACAATCTAATACTATTATTGGTAACTAAAGCAGCGAAGAGAACAGAGAATGTTCAGAAAGGTCGCGATAAACAAATAAATATCGGTACTCTGCGCTATGTAATCATCTCGTATCTGGCGGCCATTACACTGAGTCTACGGCACTGCATTTTTGATCGGCTGTCGGGGGCGTACAGGGTTCCGCGAACAGCTCATCGGAGTAGCTGGGCCGACCTTGGTGACCACAACAGACTCGCAACCGACCATAGGCCAGGGTGTATAATCCCAGCCTTTCGCACCTGTCCTCGCCACGTAAGCCCCACAAACTGGGGATGAACTTGGTGGCGCCCCACCTCGAGTGATAGGACAATAGGCGGGCAAGCCGTAATCTAACATTAATCTTATGCTGGAGGAGAAGAGGCGAGTCGCAACCTCATCAGACTAGATGCAAAATCTGCGTTTGAGCGCCAAGAGCATGCGCAGCCCGTTACGATAAAGCCTTTTCATGTTGTCCACGCACTTCAGATCGCAATGTGAGAGTACTCCTAGGTCCTTCACGGAAGGTGTGGGATGTAGCATCTCATTGTCAAGAATGTAGATTCGCCCGTCACTAGCCTTCCCCAAGCTCATGAATACCGACTTGGCTGGATGGACCGGGACGCGTACTTCTGCCTAGCACATGAAGAAATGGTTGACGTCCTGCTGTAGTAGGCTGTAATCGTTTGATGTGTTTCTCACACTCTACATCTTCAGTCGTCTGCTAATAGGGCATTGGACGACCAAAGAAAGGGAGATTGATCGTTGATATAAATCAGGTACAACATAAGCCTTAGGGTATGCTACTGATCGAAGTATACCAATTGGTCAGTTGGTCGTCGAGTTTCCTCTAACGAGAAACTCGCGAATACACTGGCGCAGTGAGCCACCAACACCGTACACCTTGTCAAAAGCTTCACTGAAATCAATGTAGGTCACCTTGACAGATTTCTCCTGATTCAGTGCTTGCAAACATTCTTACCTCGTCACGATCACGTTGATGATACATGAACGGCCTGAGATCAAACCGTGCTATCCTGGCGTTTGGAGATTTTTTGACCGGATAAAACTGTTTTTCAAAGTCTTCTCGCAACCTTAGCCGAAATATATGTCAAACAAATTGGTCTCTAGTTTTCTACTTTACCGGGGCCACCGCCTTTCAGACCAGGCATTATCACTGAGCATTTCCAATCAATCGGCAACGAACTTTCGGACAGCGACCTGTTGAAGAGATCAGTTACGGTAGGCGAGATGATGACCGATAAGAACTTGAGAATCACGGGGTGAGACCTAGCAGGCTTGGTACCGTCAAGGTTGGTGAGTAATTGACACAATTCTACACCACTTTCCCTACTATCGAGTTCGTTGAGGTTCACGCCGAACTCCGTTCAGACAGCTGATCATTCACCAACGCTGAAGCAAAATGCGCCGCCACGGCGGATGCACGCTGATTGCTGGAGGTTAAGTGCTGTCCGTCCGCGTCCTCTCTCACTGGCTGGTCACCTCTCCACCTTGGGCGCCGTTTCACATACGCAAATATTTTCTTCGGAGCGGTCTACCCTGTGTTGGCAAGCTGTTCTTCGAGATGTCTGTGCTTGCTCGTATTCTTACTGTTGCAAATATTTCGTTGCTTTTTATACACCTCATAGTCGTCGACCGAGTCAGAGATATGGAATTTGTCTCAGAGCCTTCGCCGCCGCCGAGCCAACTTATCATGTTCCTTGTCGAACCAATGTGGCTTGACCGGTTCGATTTTCCATTTCATGAGATGCACAAACTGGGTACACAATGAGTTTACTCCATTCTTTATAACTGACCAGCAAGTTTCATGAGATGCGGATTGCAGCAAAAATCAATCCATTCGGCTCGCTGCTCCAGTCAGGCCGTCGAAACCCTTCTTCCTGTAGTTGTAATGGGGCTGCATACGTGGAATTGCTGCAGCGGCAGTTCCATGTTGGCATTAAGAACTGAATGGTAACTTGCCGCTAGAGTCTCTTGGATCTGAATGACATACACATGTTGTTCACTGCTGGTTAGCATTAAGTGTAAGCGCGTTGTAGCTGAGCGTGGTGTTATGCGCGTCGATTGGCAGATGTGTTGTGCTACCCCAGTTTAAAGCACCATTTCAGCGACTTTACATTGCCATCACAGTATCTAGTGATGATGAACTTCAGGCCAACGTATTCGAGTAGACTTGAAATCGCGTATATGTAAAAGAAGGGGTCGCCTGATGTGGTCCTGAAGATGCGGTATACAATCCAAACAGTGGCTCATAGGGTACGATAAAATGCACCAATGAGTAGTTGTCCGGACCTGAGATGGATGAAGCACCACAACTGCTCACATTGGCCATCTTCTCTTCCATAGGCACTCACAAGCCTCCCACCCAGAGAAAACTGTATGTTGAGCAGTACGTCCCTGTAGGCATTCGATAGCTTATCACACTGGAAGCACAAATAATCATTGAGTTCATCTTCCTGGGCGGGTACCTCATCATTCAACCACATGTCTGCGAGTTCCACTAGATCTGGTCGCTCGAACGGAACGAAGCTGCACCACTCATCGTGCTTGTTCATAAGACTGAAGATGTTGATAAAGACTTCACGCAGGCTGTGGTAAGAAGTACCGGGCGAGCCTGAAATGTGAGCGACCGACTTATCCGAATTCGCTTTAATGTTGTAATCACCCGAAAAATCTACAATACGTAGTTTTGTTTCTCCCTCATCGGCTCGTCGCTTTATCTTGATGATGGCGCATCTGCGACGCTCCTGGTCAGCTAGATATATAACTTGTCGAATATACACCCTCTCACCTCAGTCTATTCGGCCGAGACAGGCTGGCCTCATCGACGAAAGTTACTCGCATGACTCGGTATTTCTTAGCAGTGTTTTTACCGAGGCGGAGGACCTGCTTCACTTTCACTTGGTCTTCACGCACATCGGGGAACCTATCAACCAGGCTCTGTAGAAACTACGTCATGATCATAGTATGCTTGAGGACTTGGATCTTTGGACTCAGGCGCGTGAAAAACATCAGATTTCATCGCGTTTTGTCATCCAAAGTGGTTCCTGCGGGAGAAGCGTATTCTCGAGCTTCGCTTGATCTGGCCTGTGGTTGGTCAGTAGCAGGAAGCCTTACTCCTTTTCGCGGCTTCTTCTGTCGTTGAGTCTTCAATGGCTCCTCATGCTTTGAACGTTCATATTCGTCCTTAAGGCTAGCAGAGCGCAAAGCCAACGGATCATTAGCTTCAGTTGGTATCATGTCTCTGGAAACATTAGGATGGCGCGGTAATGGATGGATGGATGGATGACTAGGTTGAACTTTGTGTGGACTCTAGGCCAGTTTGAGGGCCGGTAAGTCTAGCATTGCTCACGCTTAAGCGTTTTTCGTCACGATCTGCATCGATAGACGTTATGTGTTTCTCTGGCTGCTTTCGATTGCGACAATCGTTGTACAAAATTTGCATGAACTCATGTTGTATGGAACACAAAAGACTATGGGAATGTGCAAGTAATACAACACACAAAATAAGTCATCTTGCACAACAATCAAAGCACGTAAGGACATCTGCCCTGTTTCCAACGATTTTCGAACAGGAGCCACAAGGTGATTTCTTTGGCGTTTCGGAAAAACATCATAAAAGTGACGCAGATTGGTAAGTCGGAAATTGCAAAACAGAAATACGACCTTCAAATTGCGAATTCAGAAATGAAACCAAATGATGCCAAAATTCCACAAAATAATTCTATTATACCGACAGATCCACGAGAGACTATCCTGGCAACGCAGCCACGGAATATGCAACCGGAAGTCGCTCATTTATCCCTGTTCGGAGGGCTACATGAGGGAAGAAAATCAGACGCTCTTCATTCTTTCTGCTTATTCTCCTGCAGCATGTCTTAAATCTGTTCGGTTTGCAGTCCTGAATATCCTTTTAACCAGACAGCATGAGTATGGCTCATTTCCACGCTGCCAATCCGTTTATCGGGCTTGTTCGGGGTTCATTCCAAATTGCACCTGGTATCTGTAGTTGATTTTCATTCGAACTGAACTTACCGGGCCTCCTGTTCATTGGTCGTGGCGTCAGATGCTATCTGGTCGTCGGAAGCCAGAATTTCACTGAGTTCCTAATGGAGACCAGTACGAAACTCGTGTGGTATTGTGGGGAATTTTGTATAATGGTTCCTGGGATATATTTTGGCTGTATGAGCTAGTGAGTATTGTTGAAGTAGACCTGTCAGTGTTCAATTACTCATTCTTTGACGCTGCTATCGAACTGTTTACGTTGACTGGATGTCGTTCTCTGATATATTGTCAGCAACCACCAAATATATCTCCCTATTCTTGTCCGTATAACGACGCTAGTCATGACGTCAAAATCCATCGCACCTCGGCGCCCGGATCATGTTTGTCTCGCAGCGCATCTCAGGTAATGTGCACACATGTCTGACGAACCCACACGTGATGATGTTCTCGTCAATAATCACACAACTACAAAGTCACGATACGGTCTTTATCCTTTTTTTTAATCTCTTTGACTCACAGGTTGTTTTCGTGACATTCGAATCAACAAGCGCCAACCACCTTATCAGTTCAATTTTCAAGTGTCTGTTGCCAGAGCGCTTTCTGAAAGTACGCCGTTTACCGACACATCAAATGTACTGCTTATGCGCGCTCACCAGCTGATCTATGGATGCGACCCTTCTGCGACCGTCTCCGGCCCATGTGCTTCTGGGCCGTGTCTTCATGGGGGCTCTTGCGTTCCGAAAGTGCAGCGAAACTCAACTATTCCCTATATCTGTCACTGCCCTGCTTTGTTCCGGGGCCATCAATGTGAACGTACTAGTGATGCTTGTCTGCTTAAACCTTGTCAAAACGGCGGAAGGTAAGTTGAGTTAGTTGATAAGGATGTATTTCTGCGACTTTCTCTGTAACGACACAATCCACTCCTATCATCATTATGTGTCCATTTTGTCCCCTCTCCTCATCCTCGTAACTTTTTCCCTTTTTCCACAGCTGCCAAACTCTTTTTAGCCCCACAACTTCCCATACTTCAACCGACTCGGGCCTCGCTGCTTATCGCTGCGTTTGTCCTGTTGGCGTTTCCGGTGTTCATTGTGAAGAAATGCGTGACGGCCTTGCTCACAGCGGGGGCGATTCATCGTCACGCTATGTTCAAACAAAAGTAGGCAAACCGGCATGTTTCGCGGCTCATCTGGTCCTCCGCCATTCTCGTCTGCGTACAACCTATCCATCGTCTAAGGCAACGCCTTTGAGTCACTCCGATGTGTTTTCGCTACCGGATTTTAACAACGAACCCGTTTGTTTGAACGGGGGCGAGTGCCTAGATTCTACAACTGGCGCATACTGTTCATGTCCCCTCGGCTGGCAGGGTGCCCGTTGTGAGCACGATGTCAACGAATGCGAACTAACTGAGTACTTGTTTTCCAACCAGAACTACCTTCACATCACTCATTTAACGCATCCTCAATGGGCTGAATCACATGGTTTCACTTCTAGTAATCTCTGCAGTTCCTATGAGGTCGGCCGGGGGATTTGTGTCAACACTCCTGGTTCCTATCGGTGTAACTGCACTCTCGGTTTCACCGGCCGATATTGCCAGACTAAGGTGAGTATTTGCTCCTTCTCAATTTCTGATCCTTCTCCCATGTTTTGTAGCATTACTGTTGCGGCTATAGCGCTATACGCGTCAGAATTATTTGACTTTAAATCTTCTGCCGCAACTATCATGTAATAGCGTAAGGCCAGAACATGGTCACCGAATCCTAGGAAATACATTATTTAATCGCTTTTAACTCAATATTACTTTACATTCCTAAACAAAATTCCAACTTTCCCCGTCCTTACTAATGTGATTCTTACGATCAGGACCAACACACCGCTTACCGTCTCGTTGAACGTAGTTATAATAAGTCCTGATTGAATATTACATGTTTTCATAATAACTTGTTGGTTAACTCAAATCGAGTGTTTTGATAACGTAACGAGAGTCGTGCTGTCCATTATATTTTTCATGTTGCTGTGGAACAGGTGTTCTTACCAGAGTGCAATGAAGCTTTAAGACATCTTTTTTGCCTTTCAGCTTGAGGCAAAAAATGTTTAATGTCATTTCCCTTCAATTCGACTTCCATTTCTGTTAATTCACTTCGAATAACTTTGTGACCAAATCCACTGCCCATTTGTCCACAACCAAGTGGTTGGTTTCACATTTTCGTGTATCTTGTGGGTCGGACCACTCTACCAAAGTTAGTCCTTACAGCGCTCAACGTATCGCATCCTAAATACCAGATTCACCCAGCGCTGTCGCCTTTTTACCATCTTAAAGCTTTGCGCGTCCCGAATGTTCCTGTCCCGGTGTCATCATTTTTCGCTTATCTGCATGCTTTGCATCATGTGGTTACTTAGGATCCGAAACCCGGTGCTCCATCGCCATTCGCATCAAAGCCAATGCGCACAAAACGCAGACGGCGCAGTACGGAGCACCAATGTCTTCCTAACTCTAATCTCCTTACCTTTGATAGTTATGCGTTCTTGTATGTGCACACCGTTTTAAACCTGTACTTTTCCTCACTTTGACCCCAGTCATGTTACACACTGCCTACGGAGCGAAACTGATTTGTGTTGATTCACTGAAAACGACACGAAATCTTCTCACCTCTGTCCTCTCGAACTGATCGAATGTGTTGCTGCAGATCATATCGTGTGCTGTTTCTGGGGTGTGGTACGTCTTCCACGGTCACATTGGGCGCTCGTCTCGGTCAGTTTTTAGCCCAAACCGATAAGGGAACCACCTGTAACAGACTGGATGGTGACTCCCGTCCATATAGATGATGGTAATCGATGTTAAATCCCCTATTCCAGTTTCATACCATTTAACCCTTTAGGTGTCCGACTTTCTCTGTGCCCTCCAAGCTTTCTATGTTTACGTTTTCGTTATGGTTTGCCTTGCTTCTTCAGTGATATATCTATATATATATAATCTCATTCATTTTCCTTTTTGCTTTCCTTTTTTCCCCCAGAACCTTATCCAACTGACTCCGGACACAAATGTGTTGGGTCTCACGCAGCTCCATGTGTATGTCATTGTCAGTGTGTTGGCCTTCCTCTTCCTGGCAGCTCTGACTATCATAGTAATCCTGGCATGTCGGGCTCGTGGATTTACCGGCTCGTCCCTAGAGCATGATGATAGAGGCAACAAATTGGCCACTTCCTACCTTTGGTCTTCCGGGAGCAAACAGTGTCTACAACACAAATCAACCGGCCATTATTCTGTATCCCGTTTACACCCGTATGGCCACTCTGATTCTGGTAACTTTCTTGGTGTTCCATTTAGATCCGCTAGTCCTGGGCGCATTTTGCATTCTCATCGGATGGGTACCAACGCAAGTTCCCATGGGTTTTCATCATGTGGTGTCGCTCGTCGTCGACCTTCTCTTGTCTCCTCCACTTTTACCTTTCCGGTCAACGGCAATGGTAGCACAACCGCCCTTCTAAGTTGCCCCGTGAATAATAACATGAAACACGATAGCGAAAGCAGCGCTGACCCGACTTTGACCGACTACATGGATCGGGACGACTGTTCTACTACTGACGCTTCTCGCTTGTTGCTATATCCATCTTCAGGTGGTGACCCGGTGCCCGTCGTAATGATGATGTCCCCATCTGCTGGTAACCGTACCAATCTGTTGTCTCGCTATTCTCCTTCGTCATCGGTTGTTTACTACGGACCTGCACCGTTTCTTGGCAATGATGCCCCTCCAAATCATGGCAGCTCTTCATACATAGGATATAACCTTGAGCCGCCAGGTTCAGCCTGCGTCCCTTCTCGTCAGAGACACTCCGCTTTACCTGTGGCATTTTACCCCTCTGGACCTTTACATCCTGTCGTCGGTCTAAATCCGGCTCAATCACAATTGTACGGGTTGAGACCTGGTTCCGTTGTTGGCTCTGATAAGCTATCTCTGGGCTCTGGTAGCGACCGATTCTCTGCCCATAGCAGTCAAGTTCTGATGCAACCTGCAAACGGAGTGCCCGTACCGTTCAGTTATCAATTGGGCCACCCCCAACTGCAACAGCAAGTGTCTTATCCTGGTTATCCGGTGAATACATACGACAGCTTTTCGCTGGAGCAATTTGAGAAACCTTCGGAACGGGCAGCCACCGAAGCAGCGACGCAAACTCTTCGCGCAAGCGACCCCTACTTTGGTACAGCCAATTCGCACCTCGAGAATTTCACAACCTCGG